AACAAATTATGAACTCTGTTGTTAGCATCTCACGAGATATTCACATACACAACGAAAATATAACGTTCACAAAATGACCTAAATATACCATAAACAATTTCATACACATGAAGTTATTGTAAATAAATGACTGAATAAATGGCCGCACTCATCTGTCGCCTTCTCCCAACGATCGTCTTCACGAAGTACATAATGCATCCTGAAAAGTAATAGCTGTAATGCCAATCAATCAGGATTGTTCGTACTCGTATACGCATTCACCGACTGAAAATTTAAAAGTGTCTTTCAGATAGAGGTGAATTTGAGGTTTGTTATTAGTTCCTTGTGGCAATGCACTGAACTTCATCGTATACATAAAGTTTCTGATTTTCTTATTTCTGAAGAACAGTTTCGATCGCAGATCCTCATCAAGAAATGCTTATGACCTTCAATTGTTTCAATGAACCAAACAAAACGAATTATCACGAACTTAGCACTATGATCCACAACGATTCCTCCAATATCACCACCAAAATAGTAGTTGTCACCTCGATTCGGCCTTAAACAACGACGATTGCATTTGCGTAACCACACTTCCATCCTTTCTGCAAACTAGCATTGCAATGCAACGAACATTCCTTGACGAGTTATGGNCAACGATCGTCTTCACGAAGTACATAATACATCCTGAAAACTAATAGCCGTAATGCCAATCAATCAGTATTGTTCGAATGTGTATGTTAAGTAAGCTGAGCACCTGGTTTGCTGAGTGTATCATTTTGCAGATTTTTCCAATGCTCCAACAAGATATCGACAACCGTATACTGAGCATTATGAAACACCTCATCATGCACTGACCTCACCTCAACTGCTGCACCTAAACACTGCTAATCACATTATTCTATTCGCTTCTGATATATTTTCTAAATTCATTTCCATACAACACTAGTTCCATTACGATTGCACAAAAATTTTCCTAAAAATTTCAATTGACTTTTGACGTTGCATCAAATTGATACATCGATGAATTGCGCCAAATATGGGTTACATACGAATTCGCGAAATTCATGGCAGATGTTCATGTTAAAACATGGTCCGTTTGAGGAGTAATCTCATGCAAGTTATCTGTTCCATAAAAAATATTTCCTCGTGTGATAACCAAATGGAACATATCAAAAATCATCTGCGTTAAGCACCACGAATTCCTTACCGAAACTATTCCTTACACACAATTCCTGTTTCAGTCGTGACTTATCAATATTCCTGCATTGCCCACACCTAACAGTGCAAGTGGTTTCAGCACATGAACACGTTCCTTGCCAGCAAACCGTTTCAATACTTTCATCGATATTCGCTCGCTTCGAGCGATCCAAATGTGTGATCAGCGATTGCCCAATAACATCTGATATATTCACATACGCAAGTGTATTTCTTATCAAAACAACTGACGAGTATACAAACATTATGAGTATACAAACAATCTGACAGCTGAATATATTGCCACAATTCCATCAAAATTTGATTTTTGTGTTTATGAGAAAGCATCAAGTGAGTGAAACTGGAATTTCATGATGGTTTTGAAAAGCCACAGTGTTCAGCTTCTACGCTAGTTACCGTCCTATCATCACTGAACCGATAGGAATATATCGAAGTGGCAGAATGAGGGCATTGCTGACGAGGCAAAGAGGAATTATGCGAACATACCAAAGGACGAATGTCTCGCAGTAATTGCAACTGGTGCGAGTTTGTTTGGTTGGTATCGGTTACGAGGCTCCACTAAACCGAGTTCATAGCACAAATTCATCTTCGCTTTGAGCTGAAATTGTTCCATCAGGATTTGCTATCAACCAAGAAAAAACATCTTTTCTATTCTATGCCATCTGCCTATTGATGCATTGTAAATCAACTATTGTCAAGTAATCAACTATTGTCAAAAACACACGAAATAGTGTCGAATTCCGACAACTTAACGGTAATTCTTATTATTTCTGCTCATGAAATACTTAGAGTTTCTTACATTAGTGAGAACGAAATGCGCTGCATAACTGCTCACCACAACTGAATTCGCCAGATGAACCCCTTCGAACGATGTGTTCTGAAATGGCTTTACCTTTTGGTGCTTTTCAGCTTTTATTCCAACAACTCACATTCAACTCGCAAATTGTTAGACTTTTGTAACTGTTTTCTGCTCTTTCAAAATGAATTGAAACAGTTCAATGCTTCTGATCATCGTGTGTATAAATACTCAGCAAATATTGATAAGCG